CTTCCTCTCTCTGAAATCAATAAAGATATATTTAAAAAAATAATAAAATAATAATATAATAATAAAACAGACTGACTTCTCGGCCATAAGCCCTCACAGCCACTGCATAACTTCCTCACTGCACAGACAGTGATTTCATCTCTTGACTGAATTGCTGCTTAATTTCCTAAATTCCCTCCTGGCTTCTTCTCCTGCCCTTCTTCACCTTCAGCCTGTCTTCCACACTAGCAGCCAGGTTGCTCATGTTAAGATATCGTGATTTATCATGCCTCCTTTTTCTCAGAGCCTGGTTATCTGCAGATGCCACCCGCTCCCATTCTTAAAATGGCCTAAAACACCCCACCCAACATGTTCCCCCCCACACACCCTCCTCAGCTGCCCTCCCCTCACTCACCCTCTCCTGGCAAGAGGAAGGGGTGGGGAAGGCCAGTGGGAGCGGGTAGAACAGTGCTGGACCTTGTGATTGTGTGATGTTTCAGACTCCTGGTGGAGCCCATGCCGTATCGGAGCACACATAACCATGTGAGCTGCACATGCCCCGGTGCACACGTGTGAGTGTGTGTCTTCTGGCATGTGTGGAGTTTGCAGCTTAATGGGCTGCTTTTGTCTGGACTGTGCCCAGGAGGGGATGTGATGTCCTTGGGGACTAGTCCTTTGAAGCTGATTTATTGTGGCAGCCTGTTCAGCAAGACGTTACAAACCATGGCTTCTGCTGTTCCTAAGTGGGTCATGCAGCGAAGGACGGCCATCGAGATGAGGAAAGGAGTCATGTCTCTCGTTCGATTTGTCTCCCTGTGTGTTTTGTTCATTTTAACAGTAAATGGCTAGCACAAGCAGAATCAGCCTCTTTTTTTAAAATATGTTTTCATTCATTTTAGAGAGGAAGGGCGAGAGAGACAGAAATATCGATGAGAGGTAGAAACATTGATTGGCTGCCTCTTGCATGCCCCCTACTGGGGATGGAGCCCACAACCCGGGCATGTGCCCTGCCCGGGAATCGAACCAGTGACCTCTCAGTACATGGAATGATGCTCAACCAACTGAGCCACACAGCCCAGGGCCCAACTGTGTTTTGAAAAGCAAACAGCAGAGCCTTTCCTCTCTCAGGTTTCATCATTATTCATATCTTAACTCCACAGGGTGCCGGGTGGCCCTGGCTACCTGACACACGGTGATGTTGGAAGAAGTGAGTCATTGCATAAACGTGTCTGTCTGTCACATCACTGTCCAAATTTCTGGTCTCGTGGTGTTTCTTACCAATTTAGTGACATAGGGCTATTTATATTTAGCAAACTAGTTTCCTTTAGATGTTTCTAAAGCTATGTAAATTTTTCTTTTTAAAAAATTGTTGAATTGTGAGAGTTCTCTGTATAGTCTGGATATTAATCCTTTCTTAGATATATGATTTGCAAATATTTTCTCCTGTTCTGTAGGTTATATTTTCACTTTCTTATTAGTGTCCTTTGATACATAAAAGTTTTTAAATTTTTAAAAATATATATCTTTATTAATTCCAGAGAGAGGAAGGGAGAGGGAGAGAGAAAGACAGAAACATCAATGATGAGAATCATTGATCAGCTGCCTCCTGCACGCCCACGACTAGGGACTGAGCCCGCAACCCGGGCATGTGCCCTGACTGGGAATCAAACTGCGATCTCCTGAATCCTAGGTCGATGCTCAACCGCTGAGCCATGTCCGGCCGGGCAAAAAGTTTTTAATTTTGAGGAAGTCTGGTTCATCTATTTTTTGTTTGTTGCCTGTGCTTTTTGGTATCATATCCATGAAATCATTGCCAAATCCAATGTCGTAAAGATTTTTTCCAGTGTTTCCTTCTAAAAGTTTTATAGTTTTAGCTCATAAGTCTAGGTCTTTGATACATTTTGAGTTAATTTTTGTATATGGTGTAAGGTAAGGATCCAAGTTCATTCTTTTGTAGGTGGATACCCAGTTTTCCTAGTACCATATGTTACACAGACTATTCTTTCCCCAACTGAACTGTGTTAGCCCCCTTGCTTTTTGATGACTTCTCGCTCATTGACCTTAGGCCTCACTCAGCAATCAAGGCCTCGCTGATCCTCTGATCAGTAACATGTTGAACCTTGACTGCACTTGTGTGTGACTGTCTCCCCAAGTGAGATGCGGTGCGACCATATGAACGGGAGGTTTTACTCAACGTTATCTTATACGGAATTTCCTTACATGTGGTATTTTCTCATTTATTCTGTTTTGAACCTCAACATATTATATGGATAAGACAGTTTAGCTTGAGACAAACCCAGTCATTGCTGTTGGTTATTGCCTAACGTGGTTACCTGATTGACTCAGAGAAAGGCAAAGACGTTTAACATAGGTTTCTAATTATTTTTGGTGCCATGACCTCACAATTCCAAATGTTGAGACACTTATAAACAAGCCTTTTAAGATGTCTAGAACAGTAATTTGTAGTGGTCGTAAATATACACATAGGGAATAGATTGAAAAGCACAGCAGAGAGGATGATGTTATGAAAATGGGTACTTATGAATGAGAATTAAATTTCCAGGTTGAGCCATAAACATGAGTCAACATGTAAAAACTCAGGAAACTTAGACCGAGGCGAAAACGACACACTCTGGGAAACATCAGGTGGAACAGAAAGGGGCCCTACTTGGACAAAATTGCATGCTGAAATGGAAGAGTTTGAATTAAATTATCATAGGAGCCACAAAAATGGAAAATCAGCTATGTATTTAAATTAATGCATAATTTCATAAATGTTATTTTAAAATCTGTATAAATACATGTAAATATATGAAATATTATAAGTAGAAAGTTGACTATTTTATTTACATTCTCAAAAGTTTACACAGTTTTACCAAAAAGCTTCTTTTGGACTTGTCATTTATAAAATGGAAGCCGCCTCATGTTTCAAGCTGCCTCATTTGGGCTATAATGGGACAGTGTTCAGGGTAAGTCCTCACTGGCACTGCACTTCCATACCCTGCCCTGGCCTTGTACCCGAATGATTAAGACATGTTTGCTGCTCTGTTGAATGCAAAAAAAAAAGCCGTTCTGTTGACCCCAGTGGACAGGGTCATAAATTTGTAAGCTAATATGCCATCTGTTTTTGTGTTTTAGGTAGGTGGGCTCCACGGCAAAAGTCAGGCCTTCCTTGAATCAGCAGTTCCAGTTATGATGCTCTAAGTTACGACAAGTCTGAACGTTTGTGTCTATGGATCTGCTCTGACTCTTATTGCCGCTTATGGGGGAAGGTGAGTTGCTGTAAAGTATCTTTTGTTTGCTCATTTGTTTGCTTACCAAGAATGTTTGTAACGAAGCCAGGCTCACCTCTGAAAATGAAGTTTGTTCCATGTGGTCCAACCTGCCGTTCATTCTCTTTATTCCATGACAGGGTGTCAACTGGGGAGCTATGCCAGGGAGGGAGACAGACCATGAAAGGGAATGTTTGACAAGGCGATCTAGCCCTGGCTGGTATGGCTCAGTGGTTAGACCGTAGGCCTGCACACCTAAGGGTTGCGGGTTTGATTCCCAGTCAAGGGCATGTACCTGGGTTGCAGTTTCTGTCCCTGGCCATGTGGGAGGCAACCAATCGATGTGTCTCTTTCATGTCAATGTTTCTGTCTCTCTCTCTCTCTCTCCCCCCCTCTCCCTTTCCCT